CAGATGTTAGCAGCTGATAAGGAATTCAGAGGGCTTGGGTTTCATGATAGAGAAAACTTAAAGAATAATTGTAGAGACAAAAAACAATGCTAGACTTTACATTCAGAAAGGAATATGATGACAGAGTCTGGAACTTTTCACATCTCTTAATTTTTCTAAGCCAAAGAAGAATTGGTATTTTTAATAGGCAAGGTCTCTGCTTGGTAGAAAATTGTGGTTGGAGAGAAACTATTTCTGTTTTCATTGCAAATGAGGTAAATAATACTGCCAGGTCAATGGAGACAGCTAAGCCCGGAAAAGCTGCTTACTTTGCATTAAGAAACGACAAAGTCAGAAGCAGCTCTTTATTCCATCTCTAGAGTTATTCCAGGAATGGCGCTGAAAAGTTCAGTGGATCCCATTTTAAACAAAGATCTGTTAGCTTTGTTTAAATCTGTAAAGCCGCCCTTTAAAACTTTAAGATTCTAAGACCTTTCACTTCCTTTTTCACGTGGAAGCACAGGCTAAAAGTTTTCAATTTCTTTTTTTTTTTTTTTTTTTTTTAATAGAGGCATGTTTTATTTATTTATTTATTTGTTTGTTTGTTTTTTGTTATACATGCACTGGGTACAGTCAGAAGCGCGGGAGGGTGAGAGAATTCACCAGAGCCAGAGCGGGGAGCAGAGCAGGCAGAAGGACCGAAGGACACTGCTGAGGGGAGCAGCGGGCGGCAGGAGAGGTCTGCGCGCCATGTGGGACCCTCCGCCGGTGGCCGGGGAGCAGCCGGGGATTGAACCGGCGCCACAGAGGCCGCGGGCAGCTTCACAACCCAGCACTCAACCGCTGCGCCACCGGGGAGGCCCAAAAGTTTTCAATTTCAACACACACCAAAAAAAAAAAAATTTTAGTATGAGATTTTTATGAAGAATACGCTGTATCAGCAATTTATGAGTCTTAAAGAAGTATTTGTTACACTTGATATTTCTTACTTGGCACCTTGCCACCGGTGCATTCTATGGATTGTATAACAAAATGAATTTCTCAAGAATTGCCACTTAATTAAAAGAAGACATAGCCTCTGTAACTGTGGCCATTCTTAACTTGGTCCATTAGCAATCAAGTGCTATCCCACTGTCTAGCAACTATTAAATCAGCCTACTATCCATTAAGGTTTAAAGCAGTCAAGAGACAGAGGTAAGATGCTATCATTCTGTTTTGAAACTAAAAATTTTGTGTAAGAGATTAAGAACTCAGAAGTAGCACTAGCTACCAATTTCCCACAATTTTACAGTAGTTATACTTCTTGTTGTCATTATTATTAAACTTAAAATATCCTCTATGACATCAGGATATTTTCGTAATATGCATTGAGTTATTATTGCTTCATCATCTATGTCAGCGTCCAGATACCCACCTGAAACCCACCCGGGCTGATCTGAGATTACAGTGAGGTGGGGTGTCTCGTTCCCCACCTACATGTGGGGTCCTTCCTTCTCTCTCACCGGCCACTCTACTCATAGCAGGTCCCTAGGTTGGATGACCTCATTTGGAGAGTCGAAAAATCACCTTTGCCAGCTTGAAACAGCAAAATTTAAAAGAACTCAATGTTCACTTTAAAATAAGGTTTCTAGGACAGTGCAGTGGGCACTTTACCATTCTAATGTTTCTGAAATATTTTTAGCCATCACACACACACACACACACACACACACACACACACGTGACCTAGTTGTTTCACCCTCCCTGTTTCTCAGTATGATCTGTGTGTGGACCTGCAACATCACTGGAATTTTCTAGAAATGCAGCATCTCTGTTCTTCCCCAGATGGAATAAAAACTGGCATTGAACAAGAATTCCAGGTGTTTCATATGTTCAGAAATATCCCAAATTTCAGAAGCTGGAATCTGGAACTTCAGCCTGGCAGAAAGACTGAGCGTGGAACTGTTGGCGTTGTCACTGACTAAATTCTCTCAATAAATTCTCGAGAGAATCCTTGACTCTTTTCCAAAAAAGGGGAGATTATGAACTGGGTGGTACAGAGGTGAGAGGTGAACCTGGGGGAAGTAAAGGTTTTAAAACCATAATAATGTAACAGTAGCAGCTGTGAACTAATTCCAGGGGAATAATGCTTGAGACTTCACTAAAACACATGAGTATTTCTCAATATTTTTCATTGACGGTGTCTTCAGTTAACCACTGGCAAAGAAGGCTCCACGATGGGGAGAGGGATGATGAATGGTGTGACCTGTCTCTAGTCTCCAAAGAAAACTGTTCCTTTGGATGGTGTGATCCAACCAGCATTAGCCTTTAAGAACACTTGGGGCTTGGGAGTGGGCCTACCAAGAGTGAAATCAACAAGTCTACATTTAAGAAGTGAATACTGGTACCCTGTGTTAGATAAACTTCCCTTTTGCCACCAGCATTTCCACTCAGAATTTTCCATGTTTCTGTTTTCAGGCAGTGGCTTCATATTGTTCACTGCTACAATTTCTATAATGAGATTAACATTTATTGGCTAATTCTAAATTTCCTGTTCAATCCATTAAGTTCAGAATACAACAAGGCTTAAGGGACTCCTTGTTACTGATGAGGAAACTGAGAAACCAAGACAGTAAGTAATTTTCAAGAAATTATGCAGCTGATAAGTTGTAGAGGCAGGATCTCCCATCCCAAAGATCTTCCTTTAATTATTACTGACCGCATACTACATGTTCTTATGGCCCAGGAGTGCTCTCATAAATGGGTAAGTGAACTGAAGATCACTTTTGCTTTAATTAGTAAGAAACTAAGATCACTCTCTTTAATTAGTAAGAAACTTTTTGGTAAATAATTATTTACAAATCTCTGACACACCCAAGCACCTATGAGTCACAACAAAATTATGATCTTATTGGTAACTCATTAATATAGTAATGGTATTTGACCTCAGAAACTCTCTTTCATGCAGAACTTAAGCAATTAAAAGGTATAAATACATTTAGTTAATTAAAAAAAAATTATTTTGCATGGAAGAACTGGGGTGCAGGCCAGAGGTGTGGGGAATGAGAGGATTCACCAGAGACAGAGTGGGGAGCAGAATAGGCAGATTTACTGAAATACTCTGCTAAGGGGAGCAATGGGGAGACAGGAGAGGTCTGCTGCACTATATGTGGATTTGGTCCCTGATGGGGGTAGAACTCATGCCATGGAGGTGATATCATGATAGTGCTGAGACTTAAACCCTAGGCCACCAGGGAGACCCCTTAGGTAATTTTTTTTTTAACTTTTATTTTAAAGTTAGATATTTTAAAAACACATTTATTATTACCAAATAAAAAGATATAGAAACAAGGATCATGCAATGATAGAAACAAGGATCATGCAATGAACAACTATACAAAGTCATTAAATAGTATCACTAAAAGTGTTTTAAGTAGCTCTTTAAATTTCTTTAACATTTTTAGCTTTTTTAAAATATAAATTTTGGAGGCTTGAAAATATTTCCTTGCCTTCAATTGTTGAGAAAATATTTGTTTTTGAAATTGGCTATTGAAGGTTGATAAAAAGTTTGAAATTTGCTTTTGCCAGACAAAATTATAGTAACATACAGTAATGTGGAACTTACCAGTGTGCTGGGATGTTTGTAGGAAAACATCAAAAAACAAATCTTGGGGCCTCCCCTGGTGGCGCAGCGGTTGAGCGCTGGGCCGCAAGGCTGCGCTCAGCCTTTGGAGCCGGTTCAATCCCCGGCCTCCGGCGAGGGTCCCACAAAAAAACAAAACAAAACAAAACAAAACAAAAACAAATCTTGTAAACAAAAATTCAGAACAGTCTGATTTTTCTGCCTGTATGTTCCAGTTTGCTGGTTCAGGCAATGAGTCTGTGCCACAAGCCTGAGTATGTGGAATTTAACAGTTATTTGAGAATTGTATTGAATATGATGTAGAAAAGAAGGTTCCACTTAGATTTCTGCACCTAAGTGACAATATTCTGGATTTGTCCTTCTCTTTCATCTTATTTCACTCAGCATAATCCCCTCCCCACCTCCAGATCCTTGTTGCTGCAAATGATGAGAGAGTTTATCTTTTTGATGGCTGAGTAGTATTCCATTTTATGTATCTACCACATCTTGATCCACTCATTTGTATTTGGTCACTTAGGTTGTTTTCATAACTTGGTTATTGTAAATAGAGCTGCAGTGAACATGGGAGTGCATGTTTTCCTTTGAATGAGTTTTTTGTGTTCTTTAGGTAGATACCTAGGAGTGGAATCACTGGGTTATATGATAGATCCATTTTCGGTCTTTGAGGATCCTCCACATTGTTTCCAGAGGGGCTAGCCCAGTCTACATTCCCACCAATATTGTATGAGGGGTCCTTTTTCTCCATATCCTGGTCCATACTTTTGTCTCTGGTCTTTTTGATATGGGGAACTCTTACAGGCCAGGAGGTATCTCATTGTGATTTTGATTTGCCTTTCCCTGATAAGTGATGATAAATATTTTTTCATGTCCCTGTTGGCCATCTGTGTGTTTTTTTTGGAGAAGTGCCTGTTTGGCTCTTCTGCTCATTTTTTTGATTGTGTTGTTTTCTCTTTTTTTGAGTTGTAGGAGGTTCTGAGACTTTTTATATCAGCCCCTTGTCAGATGTATGGTGTGCCAGTCTTTTCTTTTGCTGAACTTTTGAATTTGATATAGTCCCAGTTGAGAAAACAGGTAATTGACTTTCACTGGTAGATCTAAGGAAGGTGATGAAGGAACTGTGTATGCTGGGGTGGGGGAAGGGAATGTAACTGGAATGTAATCAGAATGTCATAGCTATTTTCAAGAAGATTTTGCCTTGGGATAATAAATAAGTGTATTTTTCTTCAAGGTGAAGCCACAATTGAAAGATGAATTATATTGAAGAATTAGTATTTTTTAGGAGTGACCATCCAACCAATAGAAGGAATTAACTAGAAGTCAGTAATTATGTCATTTACTTCAGTATGACTGAGGACATGCCGTGTCTCCCCAGAGGATGAAGGACGAGTTTGATGATCAAGAGAGCCAAAATTTATTCTTAACATTGGAGGTTTGAACATCTTGGTTAGTACATTAATTTATCTCACTATTTGTCCAAAAAGTCCTTTGTCCGACTACATGAGCAGATTGATGACATCAAATGGTAGCAATTCCACAGTTTAGGTAGGTCTAGATGGGAATGCCAGCAATGGTTGTAAGTTCTAGTTAGAAAGATACAAGATTAATCCTGTTAAGATCCTGTCAGACAGGTCAGGTAGATTCCTGCAACACAAGACATTACTCAAAGGTAGTAAAGGGCAGATGAGGAGATGAAGTTCTTAGGGCTGCAGAGACCCAGAACAAATGACATGCAGCTTGAAATAGGGCTGGCATTCAGACTCCAGACCACCCCTCCCTGCATCTCTGTGGCTCCAGTCCCAGTTCTTGAGAGGAAAAGAATGTCAATCACATGACGCCAGAGTGACAGTCCCCAGTAGAATTTACTAAATAATCTGCATTACAGGGGACTTTAGAGAAAAAAAAATAAAACCCCCCAAATACACACCTTTTTTTTTTTTTTTTAAACCCAGAATCAAATCTACAAATGCAGTTGACACTCTTAAATTACATACAGGGGAATCAAAACCTTTTTGTTTTGGGGGCCTCCCTGATGATGCACGGGGTTAAGCACAGCACTATGAAGCAATTCGCAGCATCTGCAGCATGAGTTTGATCCCCAGCCGGCCAGGGAGCAACCCACATTGCGCAGCAGACCTCTCCTGTCTCCCTGCTGCTCCCCTCAGCAGTGTATTTCAGTAGATCTTCCTGTTCTGTTCCCTGCTCTGTCTATGGTGAATCCTCTCACCACCCACACCTCTGGCCTGTACCCCAGCTCTTGTATGCATAAATAAATAAATCTTAAAAAAAACAAAAACTTTTTGTTTTGGAAGTCCAGTCTGATGCTATTATATACAGTCCTGGGAAATAATAAGAAGAGGTTTAGCCCACCATCACCTGCAATTTCTCTGTCTCTGTCTCTAGCACTGTCTCTAGTTCTCTGTCTCACAAACATAAGCTCTAAGCCTGGTCTCTCCTGTAAAATTGGTATGATAACACTTGAGTTGTTGTGTTCTTACAATATAATATATTACGTGAAAGCACCTTGAATGCAGTACACATGCAAGCAGTCTGAAGATCTTATACTGAGAGTAAATAATTTGCATGTAACAACTTACTGTTTCTCTGGGGGTGAAATTCTCCAGCCTGAGTGAGCTTCTTTCAGGTGATCAGTGTGGCCATTTTGGGAACATAACATCTCAACATATTGAAGAGTGCATTCCCCCCTTTTATGGCAGAAGGAGTAACCCCAGGGATATGATAACTTACTTTGTGATGAAAAGTTTTTTAAAAAAGCTCTTTGGGGCCTCCCCTGGTGGCACAGCAGTTGAGCGCTGGGCTGCGAAGCTGTCCGCAGTCTCCGCAGTGCCGGTTCGATCCCCGGCCACCTGCGAGGGTCCCACATGGCACGCAGACCTCTCCTGCTGCACCTGCTGCTCCCCTCAGCAGTGTATTTCGTCAGTCTGCCAGTTCTGCTCCCTGCTCTGGCTCTGGTGAATTTTCTCACCCTCCCACGCTTCTGACTGTACCCAGTGCTTATATAAATAAATAAATCTTTAAAAAAAAAAAAAGGCTTTTTGTTTTGGAGTGATAATTCAAAATTGGGGAATTGGATCAGGAAATATCCCTTTGAATATCAAAAATTCTTTTTTAAAAAAAAATTTATTTAGGGCCTCCCTGGTGGCGCAGCGGTTGAGCGCTGGGTTGCGAAGCTGCCCGCAGCCTCAGCGGCGCCGGTTCCATCCCCAACTGCTCCCCAGCCACCAGAGGAGGGTCCCACATGGCGCGCAGACCTCTCCTGCCGCCCGCTGCTCCCCTCAGCAGTGTACTTCGGTCCTTCTGCCTGCTCTGCTCCCTGCTCTGGCTCTGGTGAATTCTCTCACCCTCCCGCGCTTCTGACTGTACCCAGTGCACGTACAAACAAACAAACAAATAAATAAATAAATATACATGCCTCTTTAAAAAAAAAAAAATTTATTTATTTATGCATACAAGAACTGGGGTGTAGGCCAGAGGTGCAGGGGGTGAAAGGATTCAGCAGAGGCAGAGTGGGGAGCAGAATATGTAGATCTACTGAAATACACTGCTGAGGGGAACAGTGGGCGCGACAGGAGAGGTCTGCTGCACCATGTGGGTCAGCTCCCTGGCTGGGGTTCAAATTCATGCTGCAGTGGCTGCTGATAGCTTAATAGTGCTGTGTCTCTAACCCCTGCGCCACGAGGGAGACCCTAAATTGCAAACTCTTTAACTAGAGTGCAGAATACTTGCTGAAAGAGAACCTAGGCTCTTCACAGGACCAGGTCCTGGGATCATTGTCACATATTCATTTAACAGAGCTCTTAAATGTCTCCTTACATATCATCTATTAAGATCATAATAAAAGATGTTATTTAAAAACATTGGACAAACTGGGCTTTCTGCAAGAGTTTACTGTGGTGTTTTTATGGGGCCCAAAAAGTGGTCATTATTGGGTAATTAACGGATATGTACAGTATTATTAATAGCTTGTTCAACTTGAAGACTCTCATAGTTATTAAAAATAGTGCCCTGTACTTGCTCACAGTATCACTCAGACATTGCTAAAACTTTGAGTATCTGTTTGTATCTTTAAGAATCCATTAAAAAAAAACCTCTTGGTTGCAATTAAGAAATGCTTAGAATTGAAGGCAGAAAGGCATCCAAAAATATTAATCAGAACCGGAGCCTCAGAGTCAACATTTGTTTTTGTTTTCATTTTTTTGCATAATCAGTGATAGAGATTGGTTGGAATTTGGTACTCGAGAGCCCCCAAATTTAGACGAGCCACAAGAAGCAGCTGATAACTGCAGTTGCAGAAATAGACTGAGTGCAGTCTTCCTCTGGCTTTCTTCTTGTGGAGAGAAAAGAAACTAAACCAACTTTTCCACCTTTCTGTGGAGCTCAAAGTCAGGTTTGGGGTTCATACAGAGGGCTAGCCCTGCCTCCTGTCTGACTCCAAAGCACATCTCAGCATGCACCGGGCAAGTGAGTAAGGGCGTCAGTCCTATGCAGACAGTCAGCGATCAGGGGTGTCATGGATGAGCAAACCACTACTAAGCCAGGTAACACAGCTACTTCCAAGGTGCTCAATGACTAATTTAAAGGGCAGGTTTGCAGAGGGGTCCTGGCATGGAAGGGAAGGAGCAAGACAGTCACATCACACTCTCAGATAATTACTGAACAATTTAAAGGCAGTTGCTGACCTTTGAGATTCTTTGCTCTGAAATCGCAGTGAAGGTTGTTGCAGTTATGATAGATTGTTACTTGCTAAATGATAGGTGTGGCCAAACTTGACATGGAAAAGACAGCAAAGTTAGTTTAAAACCTGAGAGGAAAAATTAGACAAAGTTCATTTTGAAATTATGTTCAAACGGTCTGTTGATAGGAAGGGAAAAGGTGGGTTGACCAGTTAGCCCTTCCCCCCCCCCCACCCCTCCCAGATCACTTCTAAGAAGAGATAGAGAGTAGACATGAAAAAGAAAAAGCCCAGTTCCAGCATGGCAGTGGAAAACTTTCTGTGCATGTTATTCTCTAAAAACATATCTGAAAGCCAAAATAATTTTTATCTAAACAGGCACAAATATTGTGAAAGAAAATAGATGTGAATAATAAAAGAAGTGCAGAGGGCAAGTGTCTGCCTCTCTCTGAAAAGTAAAATGTTAACAACCCAGAGCCCCAAGGGGAGAAAAATGTATTGAATTTCTCACCCAAATATGAACGCTTTGTGCTCAGTTTCAGAGAATATTTTTGGAGTCCTTTTTTTTTTTTTTAAACTCCTGAGTAAACCAATTGAATTTTTTTAAAACCAGGTTTCATATCAACAAAAAAGGTTTTCTCCACTTTGTTACTTGTCTTCTCAGTTAGAAAAAAATGTACTCACCAAAAAGTACCTTTAATTTCACTGTTTTCCTTAAATTTTATAAGCAGTAGAAGTTCGGTTTACCCTTCATCCTTGAGATAATCCTTTTTTCTAGAATGTTGACGATCTCTTATCTGTATTATCTACCCATTGATGTATTTCGATCAGTATCTATAATTACAAAGATGTAACACTGCAAACTTTCATTTAAAACGTGGAAAACTGTCCTGGGTTTAGGTAGTCTATTGATGGGATTATACTGTTAGTTTTCTATGTTAAGTCTATATGAGTTGCTGGGTTACATAAGCACAAGGATCAAAGTCATGGCTGGTGGAAGATCTTGTAGTAAGAGGGAAACCGAGGCCTTGGGGCACAGGTTTAGACTGTGCCTTTTAGACTGTGCCATCCCTTTTTTTTTTTTTTAAAGATTTTATTTCAATTTATTTACTTATGTATACAAGAACTGGAGTGTAGGCCAGAGTTGTGGGAAGTGAGAGGGCTCGCCAGAGACAGAATGGGGAGTGGAACAGGCAGATCTACTGAAATACACTGCTGAGGGGATCGGTGGGCAAGACAGGAGAGGTCTGCTGCGCCATGTGGGTCAGCTCCCTGCCTGGGGATTGGGTATCGTGCTGTAGTGACTAGCTTGTTAGCTCTGAGACTTTAACTTTAACCTCTGCACCACCAGGTCTCCATTCTTAGCTCATACCTTCCTCAGCCTATGACCCATGTGGTGACCACTTCTCAGCTCCTTAAACAAACCAGAGTTTTAGTTGTCAGGCTTTTCCGGATGCACTTCTTTCTCCCTGGAAGATACTTCCACTCAAGTCCTCTGTCTCATTTTTTTGTGATCTCAACTTATTTGCCATTTCTTTAAGGAGTTGTTCTTAACCTTGATCTAAAATAGCTCCTCGGGCCTCCCCTGGTGGCGCAGCGGTTGAGCGCTGGGCTGCGAAGCTGCACGCAGCCTCCGCAGTGCCGGTTCAATCCCCGGTCACTGGCGAGGGTCCCACATGGCTCCACAGACCTCTCCTGTCTGGCCCGCTGCTCCCCTCAGCAGTGCATTTCATCAATCTGCCTGTTCTGTTCCCCGCTCTGGCTCTGGTGAATTCTCTCACCCTCCCGTGCTTCTGACTGTACCCAGTGCTTGTATAAATAAATAAATAAATCTTTAAAAAAATAAAAAAATAAAATAGCTACTCACTTATAGACACCTCCGTCTAATCCTCTGTTTATTTCCTTTCAAAACCATATCATGTTTGTTTGTTGTTTGGTTGGTTAGTGTCTTTCTCTCCCTCATTAATAAATCCAACTCTGGGGGCCTCAGGGCCACACCATCTTTCTCAGTGCTGTCTCTCCAGCGTCTAGTGTAGGGTTTGGCAGATAACAGGGGACCAGTAAGTATTTGTGGCATCAATGAAGTGTATACATCATTAGCACAACCATGAGGCCATGAAAAAAGAGGAGATTGCTGTTTGATTGGTTTCTGTTACATTTTACTGAATTCAAAAGTTACTAGTAGACCTAAGTGAAGTAGCTACATCAGTTGTAAATTATTGTATTGCTTAACTGGGTTAATGCTGTTGAGAAAGCACAGCAATAGGGTAGGAAGAATTTCCATATACATTTCTGTAATGACATGAACAGACTAGCTATGGGGTGGAAGAATTTGACTCTTTGATACTAAATGTGCTGTTTTTTTAGTTAAAGTCAATAATACTTTGATAGGAATAATGTAGTTGGTACATGAGGTGCATTTTTATGCTTGGCATAATTATATAAATGATTGCACACATACTTTATTTTGATATTAATCAAGGGGGAACATGCAACTAGCTTCATGGGAATTCTGGGTGTGTATGTTTCATGAATTGTAAAAGCCATGTAAATTTATGGTCTTATTACTATTTTATGGTTGAAAACACAATAGATTACATTAACAGAAATCTCTTAATAGGACTATTAGCTTTTCCTTTTGAATTTGGATAGACTTAATGGAAGCATAAGTTTAGCTGCTATGGGTGTAATAACATCTATGGTGAAATCAAAGTAAGTTGTAAAACCTTGGACAGTGCTGTGGCTCATAGTGAAAATGTCCCCATCCTCAGATTACAGAGATGAGCTTGCTTGTTTTTGACCAATTTCACCCTTTGCTTTCCAACTCTGCCCCCAAGAAAGTCCATCACAGTGGTGAGCTTCTTAAGATGAAACGGTCATAAAGTGGAAAGTCACAAAAGTCAGCTAGATACTGACCAAGGTAGATTTAATCCAGGCTCAGAATCAAAGAATCACTGGATTCTAGTGCTGCAGGGAACTTAAATTTACTCTAACCCAAAAGTCTACACTCAAGTTGATTTCCAGTCTTCTAAGAAAACTGAAGAAATTAGTTTCATTACTCCTTGACCCATATATAATACCCAACCATGTATCCTTCAAAGGTGCCTTATCTCTGCCACATCTCTGTATGTGTGCTTGTTACCATGGCCCTTCACCTTCCAACCAAGAAGGAATGCAGTGATTCTGCGTTTATGAGTGCCAAGGCTCTTTACCTAGCAATGTCAGAAGACATCTGAACATTTCTATAGGATTTCCTTTTCAGGCCTCTATTTCTATTTTCTCCTACCCTATGGGAATTCTGCCCCTCCCAGGACTTTTCTCTGTGCTCTGTCTTAGCTTAGTAGGTAGGCCTGCTGTGATTGCCTGTTAGCTGCTGGTTCTATTAACTCAGTCTCAAACAGCAGCTTTGCATGTAAATTAACATTTGAGCACCTAGAACACAAAGTGATAAGAAACTCATAAAATGACAGCTGACTTGAACCAACTACTCAGAGGACAAAAGAAAGTTTTTCAGAGAATAAGATAATACTGTTCAATGTGACTATTGGGTGCAGGTGGTATGATTCAAGGTCACAGGCACACCCTACAGAATTATTCTGGGTAAATAAGAAAATATTCATAAACTGTTGTGAAGACTACATCTCCAGTATTTAATTCAGTTTAAGAGGAAAGGTTGATTGCTCCAAATTTAGGTGATTGTATCTGTCAGTCACAGGAATACATAATCAGTCCTAGCTTTGCTTATAGCGGGGCAGACTCTCATTATTACACTCATATATCTTTAACATCTTCAGTAAGACGTTCAATGTAAAATGAAGGTTTTATTAAAGACAAAACTTAGTTATGAGAATTTTACCATGACCATAACTTTATAATCCATTGATATTGTACATGAATTACAGCATTTCCCTCACTCATTTTATTATGACCTTTACGAGAAGAGTAGAAATCCCAGCAGCCATTGAGCAAAATAATTTGTTTTGCTCTTGTCAGTTTCCAAGAACCATGTTAAGTTGAGGACTTAGTATATTTATGTATCTATTTCTAGTGTAAGACTCCCAGCTCAGAAAAAACATCAAAGGACATTCATGATAAGTCAAAAACTAAAATGAAAATTTGAGATACCTACCTAGAAAATAGAGACCAGATAACACTGAGAATTTCAGATACCTAGAACCCTAGGGAACACCATTAATAGAGAAACAAGATTGTGTGGAGGCAAATTTGGGGTTTCATCTCAGTTCTTGAATGGGTAGACTCTGTAATCAATGTTTTTGTGGAGCACACTATCAATACCCTTCATATTAACCCAGACTCAGTTATATTATATGATTACATTAGCAGAATAGGTCTTGGTTGTTGGTGCTGTCTGTCATTACCAAAAAGCCAAAGAGCAGTGACAGGAATTGAACCTACAAGTGCTTTTATTTTTCAGGTCCTAGGGCAGTGATCTGTGGGCATAGCATGCTGAAGAGAGCATTTTGCCAGCTGCCCTCTAGCTGGCCTTTTTATAATGGGTTAGACAAACAGCCATCACAGTTGATGTTCCCATATTCATCATGGTCAGTCCCCAGAGCTTGCCATCAGCCACAGGTTATCTTAACACTGGTAGATCTGATGGCGACCCTGTCTGGCACTCATTGGGGCATCATTGTGCCAAGAATCTCAGTTCAGAGCAAGAGGTTTAATTTAAAGAAAGCACATCATTCGTCATCCAATGTGTATGTGCAGCCTGTGCTCTCTCTCTCTGTGTGTGTGTGTGTGTGTGTGTGTGTGTGTGTGTGCAGATTCTATACAGGTATGGTGCCTCCTCTTCCTATCCCCCTATCAATGAGATTAACATCCTAGCCACATGTCGGGTGTAGAAGCTGTGCTTTGCTGACACAGAGCATTTCTCTACGACCTCAGCTTCTCTCTCCCACTAGAAAGCTGGTGTCAGGAGTTCACTGGTTCCCTTTCACAAGAACCCAGTATTTCCTGAACAAGGGAATGGAGACGTGAAATACCACAGAGTGGTCTGTCCAAGTTCAATTCTTTGAAAAAGTAGTACCTTGGAAGTTTAGAGGTTAAGTTTTTAGAATAATTTTCAGAAATTGTTGCTCTTCTGGGGCCAGTGTCGAGGGCATTCAAAATAAATGGTCCAGCATCAACATGGTGTTTGCAGAACAGCATCTAACAAAACCAGGCCATCCCAAACCCTAGTCACAGAATCCTTTACCTTTTTATCAAAGGGGGAGATTGAGAATGCACCTAAATTCTCAAGTGCCTATAGCTTGGGAGACTTTCTGGGCTTGTCTGCAAGGAAAGGAGGTGTCAGCAGTGTCTATCTTTGATAAGATCAAATGTGCTTTTCTTATTGAGGAGCAAAAAAATCATCATGAAGGTGCTCAAGGCACACGCACAGTCAGGAAGCTAAATAAAAGCTAAACCTTTTTTGAGTCATTAAGAAAGAAACAGACATTTAGTCCATGGCTAAGCCACCACACGGTGATGTTTCTATACCCTGTCCTCAGAGCCCGGGAATGTTTCCCTTTAATTTGGTGAGTTTTACTTTCCCTCCTAGTCTTCATTTTTCCCTTTCACTGCCAAAGTATGTAACAGGAAATAACTTCTCACCAGCCTGGGGCGTAAGGATTAAGCAGGGAGGAGCTGATACGACAAGGCCTTTGCCCTCCTGTCCTGTGTACCCTCCGGCTCCCGGGATCCTCTGAGGATCTCACGCCACCTCTTTCCATCCAAATTCAATGTCTGTTCCTATCTCCCATGGATGTGTACATAGAACTCGTGGTGACCTTCACACAGAGATGAAGTGGTTTTGCCATGCCTTCAAAGTGGCACGAAAATTCCTTCATGGCTGAGGTGTAGGCATAGCACCCAGCACCCAGTGCAGCACCTTCTCTTGCTGAGAATTGCACCAATAGTTGTTGAAGAAATGAATAGTCCATTCCCAGAGGAGGCACCTGCAGGCCGCAGTGGCCACCTATGGAGTCCTTCTTAACTGTTCTTACTGACTAGGTTTGCTCTGTGACACCTGACCCTCCCTTTTATCTTCTTAAGTGTGTTTTAATCTTGTGACATTGCCTGGTTTTCCTTTTACCTTTTGGCTGTCTAGTTCTTCCCTGGTTAATTCTTTCCTACCTCTGTCCTCAGTGGTGGTGCTTCCCTCTCAGGTAAGCCCCATGCTGGTCCTTCAGAATCTTCCCGTTGGCTGATCTTCATCACCCCCTTGATCGCCCTTCATTGTCCTTGTATGACCTCTACCTGACCTCTTTCTGTCTGTGACTTCCCCATCACCACTGATAACTTCTTCATTCAGCCCAGTTATTTCTGCACACCTGCCAGATCTCTTTCAGTCTCCTGGTAAGTCCTACAGTCCTATTGACTATCTTTTATCTTTATTAGCAAATAGTAAAGTAATGCTTCTTTACTCCCCCAAGCACCCAACTTGCACCAGCTGCCAAGCGAGACAAACTGAAACCCCAGGAACCATCCCCCTGCCCTGTCTCTGACTCTGCCCACAGTAGATTGGCACTAAGATCCATCTGTCCTATTTTCCCTTTTGAATTCATTTCAATAAACATTGGGAATGAGTCCCACCTTCCCACGCCAATGATCTTGTATGTCTTCATCCAGTGCAGCGCCTTATCTTGCTGAGAATTGCAGAGACCTGGCCCCTCCACCTCCATGGGGTTATTTCTCCCAGATGTCCTCCATGTTGGAGAATTTCTTGAAAATGGCATCTCCCTATGTCCTTCCTACCTCGCTTTCTGGCCTCCTGTGCCTTCGGGATGGAAAGATCCATCCAGCGCCACCTGGCATACACATCCCTGGGAATCCTGCCTCACCCTCCCACCTCTGGCCCTCCTATCTCTGATGCCCTGGGCATCCCAGGCCACCTGTTCAGGTCCCCTCCTCATCCCTGGGTGTCTTCCTACCTCGCTTCTTGCCCTTAGTGCACAGTCACAGGTGGGGCAGGAGAGCTGCCTTTAGTGGTTCTACTTTAAAACTGGTTCTTTTTCTGCAGCAGAATTTCACTTCTGCCTTCATCTGTGCCTTTTATCCACTTCAGACCTCCCTGGAGGTTTAGAAGGTATTGTCAATGGTCGTTCACTTGTCTCGCTGGACTGAATGGTTTGAGATTTGTGTCCCCGGCAACTGGGATCGTGACAGTATTTCTCAAAGTGGGGTCCACAGGCCCCCCCCAGGCCGCACCCTTTGGCTGTTATTGATTCTCATATTCTTGGCTCTTCATGGGATGTAAAGAATCAGAATTTCTCTCTGTGTGTGTTTTTAATAGACCCCCCACCCCGGACAATTTTTATGAAGGTATTCAATAAGTAAACAAATCTGCTGAAGCCTTTGAGCCTGTATTTTGAATTCATATACACTGCACTTACTTGGATTTGTTGCCGATGGCTCTATAAATACTAATCTTGTTTATAAAAGCAAATTTAATTTTTTAGAGAAACGATTGCTTTGTGTGTCATGAAATAAACTGGGGAGTTGGAAATCCTTTGGCCAGTTATAACCAACACAAACAATTTTGAGCAATTCAGATTTTAAAGTAATCCACACTATTAGGTTTAAGCAGCCCAAATTCTTCTCCCAGGTCTTTGGGTGAGTTTCTCATCTCCCCTTCCTGGAACTCACTCTCCATGGAGATCCCGGTCATGGAGCAGAGTGCCAGCAGCCTGCAGGGATGTACGTTATGTAAATGCGTCATTATTTTCAATTCAAGGTGTAGACCTATACATAATTGAAGAATTAATGATTTCAAAGGCTTCCTTAACTCTAAAAGATGCTGTTGCATGCACTGCAAATGAACAACCAGAGCAGCCTGACCCCTACCAGAGGGAGGATGAGATGTGTCTTCTCATCTTTATACTGTGTTCAACTCACATCCTGTCTCCTTGAATAGAAATAAGTGCTTACCTGTGTTTATATGCAACTAAATGCCAATATAAATCCATACTCATGCCCAACTTTAAGTTGCTATCTTTGATATCCTAAAGTGACTTCTAGTCATTGCAATATAAACTAGTCTTAAAATCCTAGAGCCTGCCAGACAGGTTCCACCTTGGAATAAGCAGAGATGTTGTAACCATCAGCCCACATGATACATTTTTTTGTATAGAAGAACGGGGTGTAGGCTAGAGGTGTGTGTGTAGGGGGTGGGTGGTGGTGAGAGAATTCCCCAGAGACAGAGTGGGGAATAGAACAGACAGACTGACTGAAATACACTGCTGAGGGGAGCAGCGGGGAGACAGGAGAGGTCCGCTGCGCCATGTGGGTCACCTCTCTGGCTTGGGATCGAATTCAGGCGCCATGGTGATAGCACTGAGACTTAACCCCTAGGCCACCAGGGAGGTCCCCACATGATCCTTTTGATTAGCCATCCTATCCCAGCTGGCTCGCACTTTTGCCTGCTTTGTGCAGGGCTTATTATTGTGTGATTTTAATTTGCCTAAAATCATCTAAAAACTAATGTATCCTGTTGTTTTCTGGGAAGTTATTGTTCCTTGGGCCACCGGGTCAGTTCTGCTTCAACATCCAGGGCCCAATCATGTTTAATACTTGACCCATCAAGCTCAACTAAATGAAAATAATTGTGGTTAAAATATAGGAGTCGAGGGCTCCCTTGGTGGTGCATCGGTTGAGCACTGGGCTGCGAGGCTGCCCGCAGCCTCTTCCACATGGGTTCGATCCCCAGCCGCCGGTGAGGGTCCCACATGGTGCGCAGACCTCTCCTGTTGTGCCGTGCCCGCTGCTCCCCTCAGCAGTGTAGTTCACCGTTCTGCCTGTTCTGTTCCCTGCTCTGGCTCCGGTGAATTCTCTCACCCTCCCGCGCTTCTGACTGTACCCAGAGCTTGTGTGAATAAATAAATCTTTAACAACAACAAAAAATATATAGGTGTTGATTCAGAGCATGTCGGACTAGAAATATCAGAAAAATCTACAAATAGAACCCAAGTTAAGTGTGGAGTTTTCCTTGTTATACTTAGGCAAAGACCTGAGCGTACAGTCTTGAGTTGCTGAGGAAGCTTGGTTATGCCTTATGAAAAACAAGCTCATGGCATCCGCCAGCATCGCTGTCTGTCTGTTCTCTTGGCCGTGAGATAACTGCGCTCAGACATCAGGTTGGCGACCAGGCAGGAAAGAGAATGCAAAGGAATAAAACTCCAAAGGGCCATGTCAGCCAGTCTGTCACAAGTCCCCAGAGGTGCCATCGGCCACTTCCATACCCTTGCCTAGACTGTATCCCGGGCTGCCCCTGCACCAGCTAGGGAGAGAAGGGCATTGTAGGTGGCTGTTCAGCCATACTGCCTTACTCCCCGCAGCCCCTAAGGAGCCAATTCATTGAAACAAGGGCTCCAATCACAGGACCTCCTGGGTGCACATTACTTAGTATGTCAGCCCTGATGTGGGGCATTTCTTGAGACTCAGGACATTCCAGGATTGGGCACTGGGGACATCCTGCCCTCTCTGCTAGTAAGAAAAGAGAACCATCCCGTATAGACATGCCTCACTTGAGAAAGTCTATCAAGCAATGACAATGTTTGATCTTTGTAATCATTAAATTTCTCTTGAGTAGGGGAGCTCCACAGATGTTTTCAAAATACACTCTTTTAAAATATGCATGTGTATATATATATATATATATATATATATATATATATATTATATACACACACATATACACACCCACACACAGTTTCCCTGGAGTAAATCTCTTGCATAAAGCAAGATAAACCTGTACTTTAAAGGGTTTATTTTACCTTTGAGGCAAGAATATAAAATCTCAGTAGTTCAGCCACACACTTATTTATCCTGATCACGACAGCCTTTCTTGGATCTGCAAGAACATGTTTCACGTGAGCTGAGAACTTTCTTTGACAAGTTCTGTCTTGTTGGTCTGGAACATGGATGAATATTTTCTTAACCCTGAAACTAACTGGTTGCTTACTGGGAGTTGACACGTGATGGGAGACAACATGAATTTTTAATGAAGTGTAAAGACATGATAAGCATCAAAACCAATGAGGAAATATTATTTGCTCTGTGAGCTACGCTGGAGTGAAATCATTTGCACAAGGCTCTTAACAAGCCTCATACACCACCCATGCATTGAACATTTGGCCGTATGTGACCAACTGCTGTGCAATACTCCCCTGGAGAGTGTAGCTCTGGGGACTTCTGGAACCACATGGCCAGGGGCTGGCTTATCCATATCTAACACCTGTACCCCTTGCTTATGCAAGACTTATTTCAGCTCTCAGATTTTATTTAATGAGCCAACTTTTATTTAATGTGCCATAAATAAAAACATGTCAACTTCAGTTTAAGTCTTCAGCAACTTCCCATTCTGATAGGAGTTAAAGTAAACTTTTTAACATGGTTTATAAAAGCCCTTGTGCTCTTGTTTCCAGCTCAAGACTCTCCAACACACTCTTGGGCTTGAAGAGGGTCAAGCACTCTGTGATTATATTATTTGTTTGAACGAAATTTCTCTCTTGCCCATCTTGTTCCCATTCACCTATTCATTCTACCTAAATCTGGGTTAGCGATATCCTTTTTACTGGGAGTACATACTTATTGATCCATCCCCCCAATTTTCCATATACTTGTTTATTACCCCCAAAAGACCATAAAGACCCCAGGGGGCAGGGAATGTATCTGCTTTGTTAACTCCTCAATGTCTTGCATACTTGGAATTCAATAAATATTTGTGGAATGAACAACATGAGTCATGATTACAATCGAAACTCTCATTGCTCTCAGCCCAGATAAGCTCTTAGTAATGCTAAATTGGCAAAATTTTGTACCATAAGCCCAAAGACTGCACAAAGTTTTATTAACAGGTAAATAGGATATGTTTGATCTGATAGTAGACCAAGTTACCGCCCTCGAAGTAGTTCCTGGAAAATTTTACTTTCACCCGAGCCAGCTTATGACTTATTAGGAATGTTTCAGTTTTCTGTTTAAAGGGGCAATTGAATGTTTTTGTTAAATTCTCACATCAATGAGACGCTTCCTAGACATGGGCGTCCCTTCTCATGGTCTCGGGTCTGAGGCAATCAACCATGCCTATGTCCTCAATCTGTTAAGACAGATTACAGCCACACATCACTTAATGACAGGGATATGCTCTGAGAAATCTGTCATTAGGCAACTTCCTCGTTGTGCAAACACACTGTATTGGATTGACACAAACCCAGATGGCCCTGTTTATGGTCTACTTTTGAGTGAAATGGTGTTGAGCAACTAACTCATGTCTGGAAGAGACTGTTGATCCCTTTCCCTGTCTTTAGCTTTCCTCTCTCAAAGCTGTTAGTTGTAATTCACCGATTTGGGGGGTAAATATATGCTACTCATATACTACTCAACATTTATTTGATTATAAGATGTGATTGGTTTTAATGCGCATTGTAGTTGTGTGATCTTGAAGGAGATCGAGCTCAAGTCTGCTTGTCTCCCAAGAGCCATGTTTAAGTACAGACTTACTCTTACTTAAGTACTTACTTACTCTGCTAGGAGTGCTATAATAAAATAACCACAGCCTGAGTTGCTTAAGGAATAGAAATATTTCTTACAGTTCCAGAGACTGGGAAGTCCAAGATGCAGATGCTGGTGGATGCCATGTCTGGGAGGGAAGCTCCCCAGATGGCGGCCTTTCCCCTCTAACCTCTCGCGGAGCTTTCTTGGACTCCTTTTATGAGGTACCAATTCCATTCCAGAGGGCTCCACCCACAGGAAGTATCACTCTCACAATCTCCACCTCCTAATACCATCACCTTCCAAGTTAAAGGGATTTCAACCTCAATTGTGAAGGGGGTGCAAATATTCAGCCACAACCTCTTCCAGATTAGGAAGGTCTGAGAGAGCGAATCTGCCTCCTTAATGAACACCCAGAAGTTTCTGTTACTGCCAGTTGGTGGACCAGGTTGAGAAATACTTCAGATAAGCTGGTGAAAATGCTTAGTTATTGTTGTGAATGAGGAGATGTCAGAGGACCAGAAACATGTCATTCTCTAACATTGCCCCAGTGAGAAGTTAGGGTGTTCTCAACCCCCACCTCATCTCCTAATCTCCCAACACCACCACAGGCGCCTCCACAGCCACCAAGGACGCAAAATGGAGTTATGTTTTTCCACTGTGTACCCTCCTTCTCTCTGCCCCCACTCATAGTAGGATCTGACATGTTTTAAGACTGTCATGTTTCTCAATCTCTGATTCTCACTCCCAATCACTCTCTTCTCTTACTCAGACAAAAACTTATATTGTGTTTACTGGCTATTTTAAAAGTCATAAATTTAAAAATCTATCAATTGCATAAATACAAGCAAAAAAATAAAAAAATTACCCATAAACCAACCATCTGGCTGTCTCTCTTAAATAAGGAATCAAGGAAATTCATTTTTATAAAGATACGGTTTTCACCTCTCTTCTGTGTTTTGTAAGGATGTAAAGATCTTTTTTGTGAACTTCGGAAAGGATGAACTAGGGAAATGTAGAGTTTCGTTTTTTTAAAGTAGTAAGTCAATTGCAAAAAAAGCATATTATATCTTTGAAGTATTTGTGTTTCTTTTTTATGATGACTCCCTAAAATTAGGGTCATCATATAGTGCCTGTAGTGTTATTATTTGATTGAAAATTGAAAACATTACCTCAGCTCATTTAAGTCCTGGAGTGAAAGGTATAATTTTTTTTTTTCTTACAGAAGCAGTTGCTATTTTGTGTCCCCACCTCCCCCCCCCCGCAAAAATGAGATTTGTTCTTTTGTTAGTTTAAAAATCACCCTTTAGTCATTTTTATTCACTTTTTCCCTGAAAGTTCTAATTTCCATGGTACCATTAGGCTTTGCTTCTTCCTATGTACATTTACAGAAATATATATTAAAAAGTGACTTTCGTATCCCGCAGTCCCCTCCTGACTCAAGAAGAAGTATGAAAACCTATTTCCCTATCCCTGGCAGGGATTATTATTCATCACCACCACTACCCCCCTCCCTTTTATTGGACAACGATGTCCTAAAGCTACATTGTCGGTGAAGCAGAATTAATGTGCTTATAGAAAATCGAATTCTGTCTCTAGATGGGGAATAAGAGTTTGTGTTTGTATATTCAGATTTGGGTGTGCAAGAAAAAACCTGAAAGAAGAATACATGCCTTCTTTAGGAGGAAAGATTAGATGAATTGATCTTTAGTGGCAAGGTACTTGAGATCTGTCTTAATTCTAGATTCTACTGTAGTACTTCATAATCTTCTGCCGATGGACTAACTTAATTGATAAGAGGTGGTATCACAATCCCAAAAGTGCTGGGATTTCTTGAAGCACAGATGGATAATAATACTTATCCTCTAAACAAGGTTTCAGTTACTTATACAAATGAGTAAACTTTCTTTACCATAGTTGAGATATCTTTATGCTTGTGGTCCTGAATGTTATTTAGGACTCTGCAAACGTGTGTGGCTATGATAGTTACTGAAAGAAAGAGAATGATTGGGCCTTCCTAGTGGCGCAAGGGTTTAAGTCTTGGCACTATGAAGCTAGAGTTCGATCCCCAGCCAGGGAACTAACTCACATGGTGAAGCCGACCTCTCCTGTCTCGCCCGCTGCTCCCCTTAGCAGTGTATTTCAGTAGAATTGCTTGGTCTGCTCCCAACTCTGTCTCTGGTGAATCCTCTCATCGCAACCTCCAACACACACTTCTGGCCTACACCCCAGCTCTTGTATGCATAAATAAATAAAATAAATATTTTTTTAAAAAAGAAAGAAAAAAATAAAATAAAAAAGCAAGAATGATTGCTCTGATACAAACTTACACATACTGCTCAACAGGATCTTAGTAGGTTGAAATTTCTAAAGACAAAATTGGCAGTATCTGGTGAATTTGTGCTTGCCCTCGTTGTGCTGCCCTCTTGCAGCCTTTCCCAGAGCAATCCACTCCCTCAATTCAAATTTCTTGGTCAAATCCACCATCTCTATGCGCCTACCTAGCTGGCCACTCTGTTGGAAGCTATGATCAGTTCCTACCTCCTAAGCCCCCTTACAAAACTTTGCTTTTTATTCTTTCCAGAGTATTTGTAATCTTCTAACTGACCGTGTTATTTTTTATGCTGTTATTTTTTTTTTTTTTAGTCTGCAGACTGATTTTCTCCGTGAGAGCAGGTGTTCTTGTCTGCCTCGTTGGCAGATACATTTCCAGAGATGGCAACTGGGCTTGGCGCACAGTCTGCTAAATGAATAGCTCCTGAATGCATAATGAGGAGGCTCAACTGGGGTGGAAAGGAAGAGAAAAATGTATTTTCCTATGTAGTTATTTTGCTGTCAAAACACACAACCTTTCTTCTTTGGGGCAGCTGTGGAAACTCAAAACTGACATTTGCAATGAACACCTAGCATGTAAATTTCAGTGACTACACGACAAAATTGTTGAACTCAGTCAAGTTATGCCCCACCACCACTAAATTCATCTATTTAATGGACTAAAATAATTTTGGTGTCATTTAGGTAAAGCCCCAGCTCTTGTTGCATCATCGTGAGTTATAGATAAGAATTCTTGGCCATGGGCCTCCCCGGTGGCGCAGCGGTTGAGCGCTGGGTTGCGAAGCTGCCCGCGGCCTCTGCAGCACTGGTTCGATCCCTGGCTGCTCCCCGGCCACCGGAGGAGGGTCCCACATGGAGCACAGACCTCTCCTGCCGCCCGCTGCTCCCCTCAGCAGTGTACTTCGGTCCTTCTACCTGCTCTGCTCCCCGCTCTGGCTCTGGTGAATTCTCTCGCCCTCCCGCGCTTCTGACTGTACCCAGGGCTTGTATAAATAAATAAAAATAAATCTTAAAAAAAAAAAAAAATTCTTGGCCATAATGTCCATGTCCTGTTGGTAAGACTGACTTTTCTTATTGTTGCATATGTGCCATGTCTTGAATGATAATTTTATTTATTTTTTAAATTTTTTTTATAGAGGCATGTTTTATTTATTTATTTATTTATTTGTTTGTTTGTTTGCTTGTTTTGTTTATACATGCACTGGGTACAGTCAGCAGTGCGGGAGGGTGAGAGAATTCACCAGAGCCAGAGCGGGGAGCAGAGCAGGCAGAAGGACCGAAGTACACTGCTGAGGGGAGCAGCGGGCGGCAGGAGAGGTCTGCGCGCCATGTGGGACCCTCCTCCGGTGGCCAGGGAGCAGCCGGGGATCGAACCGGCGCCGCAGAGGCTGCGGGCAGCTTCGCAACCCAGCGCTCAACCGCTGCGCCACCGGGGAGGCCCTTATTTATTTTTTAAAGATTTATTGATTTATGTATACAGGAACTGGGGTACAGGCCAGAGGTGCAGGGGGGAGGGAGAAGGAGGGGATTCACCAGAGACAGAGTGGGGAGCAGAACAGTCAGATGTACTGAAATACACTGCTGAAGGGAGCAGCAGGGAGATAGGAGAGGTCTGCTGCGCCATGTGGGTCAGCTCCCTGGCCAGGGATCGAATTTGTGCTGTACGGGTTGCCGACAGCTTCATAGTGCTGAGACCCAACCCCTTGTGCCACCAGGAAGGCCCCTTGAATGAGAATTTTGCAGACTGACATTCCTCATAATGACACTCCTCAGAAAATAGAGGTGAGGAAGACTAACACAACACTAGTTTGAAAAGATACTTGCTTTTAAAATATCTTTCATTCACAGTATCATTATTATTATCACAAATATCATTATTCACAATAGCCAAGACAGGAAACTAAACACCCATCTACAGATGATTGGATAAAAGTCGTGGTGTCTATATGTTAAATGGAATACTATTCAGCTATATAAAAAGATGAAATCTTCCTTTTTGCAACATGGATAGAACTTGAGGTGATTACGCTAAGGGAAATAAATCAGAAGGAGAAAAGATTACTGGATGGTTTCTCTCCTATGTGGAATGTAAATAACCGAAGCAAATGAACTAACAAATCCCTGCAAAAATATGGTGTTTGGGGAGCAGTGGGAAAGAAGAGTAGAGGGTTGGTCAATTTAATTGTGGGGAGGGCACTGGAATTTTGCTGGATGAGCTGAGTCATGCCCACACAGAGGTGTGAAGCTGTACCCTGAAACTTACATAGTATTGTAAGTCAGTGATGATTCAACACCATTTTTTTAAGCAAAAATAGATATTAGCTATTGGGATTGTGTTGCCCCCATTGAGGCTACTTCATCCTGAGAACTGCCGCTCAGGTTTCTGTCCCTTGACAGTTTGGGTGAGTGGAGCATCCAGTGTGACTGAAAAGGCTGGATTTAGCCCTAGCTACCACATTATCTCTGTCTTTAGCAGCCAATAGGAGCGAAATAAAGATACTGATAAGCTTCACAATTTCAGCCCCTCTTGACTTGTGCATAGATTCCCTTGGAAGACCAGCTGTTGTCAGCCCCCAGGAGAAAGTTCTTGTGCCTGCCCGCTCACGGCTGGGAGATTTGCTCATGATTGGATGGGTCACTGTACCTGGAGTGTGGGGTCGAAGGCAGATGCTTGGCCAGTAGCTGATTCGGCGTAGTCAGAGTGCCCCGTCCTTCCCACCAGAACGTCTGGGTTAGATCAGTCTTTTACCTTGTGTCCAGGTTTGTCTTTTACCCCCAAGGCAGAGCATCGAGCTCACAATACAGTGTGTTCTCCTCCTAGGAGGCTGCATGGCCATATGATCTCAGCTCCCATTTGCTGCAGTAAAC